AAGAGCTGTATTTATTTAGTAAATGTCCCTCTGAGGTTTATAAACACATCCCAGAGTGTTTCTGACATCCTGCCAGTATAAAGAATTCATTTATCTGCATCATCTCCACAGAACGCTAATGGTCGACCAACGTGGCTTTTCAACGCCTGATTCTTTTGCATCTGATCAAATACAGAAGCATCTGTTATTGTCTGCAGTGTCTCTGTTTGCCATGCACTTATCTGAAACAAGAACACACCAGATACATGTCTACAGGTAATCACAAATACAAACTCAGCACAGTTGAAGTGCACCTGGCAGCGTGTATCAGCAGGAGGGTAATGAGAGCTAATGAAAGTGAACTGACAATTAAAACAGAAATATTCCATGTCCAGTGGCTCTTCCTGGCTTTACTTAGAACAAACACTTTCATACATGTATACTTTGCCTTGTGAGCGAAGGGACAGAATTTCCCAAATTGGCATCAATCTGTCCACAACTCAAATTATATTCATATTGGTTATTGTTTTAGCTGCTAACAATGTGTTTTATTGACATTAAAGCAGGAGGACGAACACAGATTTGTTGTTTTTTAAGCATGTGACAAAATACAGCAGATGGAACCCATTTATTTTAAAGGTCCCGTGTCATGGCCATTTCTACTGATCATAACTCCATTATTGAGGTCTACTAAAATAAATGTACATTGTGCAATGTTCCAAACTCACATTGGTTTCTCATACAGCATCACTGTATAGGATGTGTATTCACTCTCTGTCCTACACGGCTTGTTGGAGCTCCTGCCCCCCCCCCCCTCCCTGTGAGCCCAGTGGCCGTCTGTGAGACAGCGAGACACAGCGAAACCCAGCCCGAAACACACACACACACCCGCAGCCTGGCTGGGAGTTTGTGTGTGTGCCCAGGCTGAGTTCCACGGTGTCTCGCTGTGTCGTCGACCCACCCGCTCCTCGCAGCAGCGAGCCTCGCAACGTCCCGCCGAGTGTTACGTTACGTCACTATACCCGAAATACGTCACTATACCCGAAATACGTCACTATACCCAAGAAGTAAACAATGGAAAAAGAGAAATGTCCAACGAGGCGTTCTGGGGCAGCATAGACAGGTCTTCTCTGTGTTAGAGTTTTACTCGCTACAGGGTGAACTTTGAGGGTTTGTGACTCTGCAGACCGTTTACATGCAGAAGCTACATAACACACAAGGGGACGGGTAAGAACCAGAAAAGCATGACATGGGCCCTTTAACACTGTCACTGTTTGCACACCTTGTCATCCATGCCCTTATTTTAAATAAGCAAAATAAATATCCACAGGTACCCAAAAATGTCCCGCGATAAGGTTTCAATGCATTCAGCATGTTAACAGGTTATTAACACGTAGCCGTATCTCAAATCGGTCCATATCGACTTTATGCATTTCTGATCAACTCATATTTATATTTTCTATGATTAAAGATGGTGAGATTGAAAGATGTTGTTTTTCTCACGTGATTGTGTCCTGAAACGTGAATGTGTGCGCTTCGTAACGTCCACTTTCTCCCATTACACGTGTTGAAACTCAGTTTCTAAAACACCGTACAGACGTATTCTCACTGTGTGATGCTTCTAGTGTAACACTGACCTTGTTTGATTAAAAGGTGGCGTCCATGACTTCCTGTCCCCTGATTGGTCGGTCCCACGCTCTTCTTCTTTATCTCTCCGCATGTCCTTCGTCTTCCTCACGTCACTCTTCTTGTGCCTTGTTTAAGTCCTGTAAATGGTGAATGTTGTAAAGTACACATGCTGATGAAAAAAACAACAAATAACCACACTGACATGCATTTAAAGGTATTAGTGTTGAAGATGATATAATATTGAATCGGTGGCGGAGCTTTTCTAGTGCTGACCATCTGTTTGGGCAGCTTTGTGGTATTCTGCATCTATAATTATAGACCTTTTGGATGTTTTCTGTACAGTAGAATTTGCTAAATGTATATGCAGCCTTTTGGAAATAAATGTACAGTTTAAAGATCTCAACTTGTTTAAACGCTAGTTATTTTTACATCATGCAGTGAAACTATCCAACCCAGGCCGTTTCTCAATGTCGAGTATACCTGCTGCAGAGCCACTATTTCAAGTATACTACGTCATCGAGTGGCGCCGAATGCTGGGCATTTAACATGCATTTAAACAGTCCTTCGGCGCCCATCGATGACGTAGTATACTTGAAATAGTGGCTCTGCAGCAGGTTTACTCGACATTGAGAAACGGCCCCAGTCTCACGGCATTTTGTGTTGTAGTCACGAAATTAATTTAATCTATTGATTCGTGTTCACCAACACGATTTTCACCTTTTTTTCGTGTCACACAGAACGATTTTAAATGCAATGTATTTCTATTGGTAGTATGTTTCGTGCCTGCAACACATCTTTTTGTCCGGTTGGGTCTTGGAAGACCAGAAGCTGTGTGGTTCATAAAAACATGTTCTTACTCAATATCTTACCCTAAGCCTAACCCTATCCCTTTTATTTTAAATTGTATAATGTCTGAGTTTTTTTTGCCGTCAGTGAGGAAAAGAAATGGCTCAGAGCCTCAGAATACTGACATCTGTATTTTATAAATCTCTTTTTCCCTTCTAATTTGTTATTATTTACATTGCTTTTAAAATCGTTCTGTGTGACACGAAACAAATTGCGAAATCGTGTTGGTGAACACGAATCAATAGATTAATTTCGTGACTATAACACAACTTTTAAAAGGGTTTTTATAAGGTCTTTGTAGGGCTATGTTTATGGAGTTTTTTAATGTTTTTTTAAACACACTCATTTACCGAGAGCAAGTGGACCACGCAGGGCCTCTTCCATAACCTAACCCCGCCAGTGCCTCGGTTTTCAACTCCTCCAGTCCTCTCCTTCCCAACAACTTTTAAGGAACTTGATCTCTGGTTTTTACTGGTTTTATATGGTTTCAGAACTCCTCCTGGAAACGTATCGCTCGTGCCTGATCTGCAGCAGCCGTTGCACTGGCTATGTTCACCTTTTAGAGGAAGCCTTTTATTTTATTTTATCCCTTCCCAGTACCCTTTTACTACTTTTAACCTTGATGTAATTGATATAATCCTTAATAACTCTAATAGATCTGATGACGCCAAAAAAAAAAATTATTTGTATTTCATAAAAAATGTGTCATCAGATTTTACCTTGATTGTCTTTAACTTCTTCTTTCACCACTTTCTTGTATTCTGTATTCCTACCTCTCTCCCCTGAGTCACTACCTGTCCCTTTAAGGATTGTTGCTCCGCCTCCTGATGAGGTCACAACGGACTGGGCCAATCCCAAGCGCCCCTACGCTGCCCAGTTACAAACATTTCATTGATAAAGTTGTGCCAAGGGACGGCTCGGACTCACTCTCCTCTCATCCTCCTGAAGAAGCCTCAGCGGCCGAGGAAACCCCCTCCTCTCCCTCTACGCTTTCAACCTCTTAAGCCCTGAGCCTGTTTTTCAGGTCTCAGGCTCGAAAATGCCATTCCCAGAACAAATGACCATATCTTCCCTTCTGAAAGGGTTAAATGAATAATCTTTATTCTCAAAGTAATGATAAACCTGTGAGTTGGATGTAGAAAAGTCAGAATCAATATAGATGTTTTTTATTTTAAAGAAAATTCAGATTTTACATAGTAAAAAACTGTAAATTATAGTGTCCGTCCAAAAATTATTTTTTACTTATAGTGAAAACT